TATATTTACCTACCACCTAGTACACCTAGTAGTTTTTTTAGTACTCACCTAGTACTAAGTCTTGGTACACGTTGACTACTACCATTGACTATATAAGTAAATGCTACTACGTTTACTTTTGGATATGTACTATACTGATTATTGGTTTGTTTTTTAAAAAATCTAGCAAATTTAGTTATAGTATGTAAAGAAGAATCAATGGTTTATTTTCATTTTTCGTAGTGACAACCAAGTTTCTGTTTGTACTTCCGTCTACTTAAGTTTGTTTCATTAATGCTGTTATCTCATTACAGGGCTAACGTGTTGATATAAAAACAGTAATAGTTAAAAATATTTGGTAATTTCTTTTACTGTATAATTAAAATACCAGGGGTTTACGTGGAAATGGCTCCTACGTAATTTAGGCTAACCTAATATAGAGATCTGTGTTCTAAATTATTACATTTATACTTCTTAATATTCAAATTTAAGAGTATAGTAGAACTATGATTCAAAAAGATCTGCAGTATAAGAACCCAGCCATGGTTTATCCCATGTAGATGAGTCGAATTGTGAATTGTGAGCCTCACATAGAATGTGATTATGTGCCTTAGTTTTTCGATACTTTAATAACTGATGTAACCAAAATGTAGGCTAACATTTAAGATGCTGTATTTTGTTAGCAGTAACTTGCATTTTCAGTTTGGCTTGGAAAAACATTGTGTATACTACAGAAATCGGCTTTAACGTGAAACCACTGTTGGTGAAAGGTGGCTCATTCAACTATCATTTCAGTTTAAAGTATTAAAATATTAATAGTATGTTAATTTTAATTTGAAAACTAGTTATGTAAAACTTTAAAAGCAGAGGGGGTGTCTATTGGCTTCCATTACCAAATGACCATTTTAAAATTTGTTTTCTAGTAATATTTTATATTATCTTATAGGGAAGTTTGCTATTTACCTGATTTACCTCATGTGTACAATTATTTGTCTTACTATCTCACAATTGTGTTTTTGGGTTTTATACATCTCGTCTCAAACTCAACACTAGTGGAAATGCGTTTCGTCATCAATCGATCCATCGTCAACGTCACTGTTTAGCTTATAGGTGGAGTGAGGAGGGAACTCTTCCGTTACCGTACTGAAGTGTGAAAATTCAAGTGCAGTTTTGATTAGAACAATCGATTTGAGAGACAGGCAAAAATAACAAAACACTTCTCGAAAGCACCAGAGCTCAAAGGTCCGTTGGTATCTTTTTAAGACTAAAGTAGGGTATCTTCATGAAGAACTGATAATTTTGGTTTCAGATTAAAGTATAAAAACATAACCTTCGGTAAAGTTGTGTCTTATGCATAGCAGGCAAAAGACCAATCCACAGTTGTAATACAGGATATAATTCAAGCAACATACATGAAAGTACGACATATAAAATTACTGTACGTGTTACTTGTTACTTGATTCAAGAATATAGGTTTAGTCACCGAGAAAATTTGAATAAATATTTAATCTTTGCAAACAATTACGGAACGAATTCTAATTGTTTCATCATGTTATAACGTTAAAAGATTTTGTATTCTAAAGAACAATATAACTTTGAAGGGTCTGTTAAACCCTTGTATTAAACCCTACCGAGGGACGGTTTGAACTGTATTGGTCCCAAGACGAGGAAGTGTACCAAATAGATAAGAAGAGCGAGGATAATTGGGATGATCGTAATGACACAGAACTAGCCACGATCCAGGCCGGTCGTGGTCACGGGTTCGAGCCCCGCCGCATCACACAGCATAGCGCAGCCCACGCACTAATTGCTGCTTGATTGATAGGCTGTGTCATCACGACTCGCGAGGCTACATGCAGATTCCCCGGGTAAAAGTGGGTCAACGCTTACCTCAAACTGTCGAGGATACTCTACGATTCCTTTCCTAGTTGAATGCCCATTGAACTAAGAGGTAGAGCAACTAGTCTACAGGATGAATGTAAGCGTGGGCTATGCAAGACCCTCAGGTTCGCAATGAAGTGATCGACGCAATGAAGTGATATATCGGTATAAAGTATTTTTATTTGCACTCAATCAAGAATTTGTCTTGAAGTCTGTACTCAATGACAAACCAATGTCGACGGAGACGCGGTGAAGGACGTGGTTTAACAAAGCAATCATCTCCCATTGTTAAGCGGTGAAACTGCGCGGTCAGAACTGGTTTATTAGTAAACGTCATGGAAATGTCAAAGCGGATGGACAATTATGATGTGTCATCAGCATTTAGAAATATTTACCTTCCCTATTTTACCTCAAGTATATTAGGCCTAAATTTAATTCTAACACATTTATATAATTTAAATGAATTTCCAAATTGATTACTGCTGTACATTTAAAATGGTGATTTTCAATTGCCTATCGCCATAAACGATTTATTCTGTACGTAACAACATTCCTTACTTCTCTGTGGTAGCGACAACACACTATATTTGAATTTGGTTAAACAGAGCTTGCCTTAAACCTGTCTCATAATATGGCATCATGTGGACTACTATATGGTCCTGCCTATCCTGTCCGTATCATTTTCCCTGTACTACCTGTTCTCTTTCCTGTCTAAAGGAAATGGTTTCCTGTCAACTGAGTCAGTAAACCTAGTTCATATTTCCTAAAAAATATTAACATAATGATTGCAAGTAATAAAATTTCTTAAGTTTAAGCGTTGATTACTAATCAAAGCTTGGATTGGCAAACAAATTGTAACCGGTGCTCCCAGTCAATTTTGTGATGTAGGCCTAGGGTATGCCAACAGTCTACAGGATGAGATGAGGATCGATCCGACAGACCGCCGCAATCATCAGTCGCCGCTGTGGCTCGCGGTGGAGCCAACATCGCACACCAGGGGTTGAATTGGTTTTGGAGCGAAGTAGCTGATTGTAGTTGCCGTTACTCAGGGAGCCGGTGACCTTGGCGGCGATTTGCCTGTCTTGTCTTGGTCTTCATTGTCGGTTGACCTCCACGGATCGTGGCCGATTTCCCACCCTTTCACGACACGACGTCGACCGCTATTGTCCTACAAGTAGGCTACAACTACGCTGCAATTAAGATAAGGGAATAAAGTGATATCGAGAGTGAGAGGTCCGCGATATCATGCGGCTGACAAGACGCAAACAAGCCTGAGAACTCGAATATGGCGAAATTCCGTTGTTGGGTCAGATGAAATAATGACACGGTACTTTCGTAATACGCATTGTTTTGAATCCCTTGTTTTCGGAAATAAACGGCGTCCGCTATTCTTAGATTGGATTTCTACTAGAAATCCAATTTCTACATCTCATTGCTTTGACTACACGGCAATCGAGTTTCTATCGGCGTTGTCTGTCAGTCAAGATTAGCAATACATTTCAACAGCCTGAAATAGTCTTAGTCTATATCACAATTGCTCGCACATTTTTATGTACGAACTAATTCAAGTAGAGTTGTTACTTTGTGTCTCTATTCTTGTCGTAACCCCAGAAGGATATGTGGGTAATATGCATTTTTGTATGCTGCCTAGCTCCAGACAGGTTTACCTAGTTCCGGAATATGAAATGTGAAAAAAACTACATACATTTTCTATAACTAAAACAGACGTAATTAATCAGTACAGTATTCTTTAAAAGGAATCGCTTGTATTCAAAGGGAACTTTGAAAGCAAACAATTGATAACGTATACGAGTAGCAGCATGAAAAATATGAGTGGTTAAAGAGAACCAATAAGTGGAATTAGTGGTGGAGAAGAGATAAATATTGCAATGGTAAAAAATCTTCTTTTATGCCACAACGCAGAATGAAAGTCCACAACGTGTTGAGAGTAGTTTTGGAGACGAGTCACTAAATTTACTATTGTTCTATTGTGGTATTTAAAAATATCCATTTATGTATTAAACCACCGTTTTGAACAACCTATCAAAGTTTTAATTCGTGTTAATTTTGATAATATAATTTATGCTCACACCACTTTGACCTCTTTTTACAACATCCCTGTGAGCAATCAACTCAAGTGGCAGAACGTAGAACGTGAAAGCGTCTGCTCGAGATCATCTCATCTCAACAAGCGCCTCTTGACTTGAGTCCCTGACATTGACGAGCTGTTGTTGGTTTACGATCTGTAGAAAGCTTAGTCAGTAGAAAGTGCAATATTCTGCACAGTATTGTCTTGTCCATCGGTGAAAGGTGCTGCAGCGCATCCGGTACCGCCTATCAGCACCGGTCTGCAATCTTCCGCCTCTCAATTGGTGGCTTCAGGACTTTCTGGAGCAGCGAGTTTGTTTCGTAATGACCAAAACGTTCGCTAACGGGATTTCCTATTCTTTCACCAGCGGTCAGCATTTTGGCCAATGATTTGTCCAGATCACCAGCATTCATTCTTCCAAAATCCGTTATAAGCAATCGTAAACCTTTCTAAAATTCCATTCGATTTCACGTTAACCATGTTTATGAATCTACTGTTTACATGCCAATTAAAGAACGCTGATTTCATACATCTATGAGATAATCACTTCAGAACCTCATCCAAACAGGAAATGATCTAATGTCCCGCGATGGAGATGACTGACAATGTTGAAACGTGCAGAGTCTGGACTGGATATGAGATGATCCCATTGTTAAGGGGGAGGGAGACGTATGCTCAGTCAGTAGAACGCCAAACAGCCACCCATCCGTCCCATACCCGCCCAGGCGAGACCGGCGCTGCACATCTGGAGCAACCCACCAGGAACACTCGGTCTTGATACTCGATTGGACAGTGATGAAATGTCCCTTGTTCGCGTTAAGATAACTGTCAGATATGAGCATTTTGTTTACGATGATGATTTGATTGAGAAAATTAACAGTTTCAGTAATAAACGTAGTAAAACAAGTCAAACTGGGTTTAAGTAACCCAGTTTTAGACTCGATAGTATTAGTTTCTATCTCAAAATTTCCTATATTGTTTTTAGTTTTACGAGTCATTCACCCCTCTCCTAATGAACATTAATAACATGGAGCTGCGAAGAGTGACTCACCGTAACCACGTCTGGCCCTGGGGGGTCCGGAGGTTTTCGCCCTTCCTGAGCTCGTAATCGTTTGTTCTGAAACAAAAACATCATATTACTTTATCGATCCATGCATGGTGTTATACATTTAAACACAAGGCAGCTTTTGTTATTGAATGAAACACAAAAAAACCATTAGTCATTAAATAGACCTATTGCACGACTTAGTTAATTGAAATACTGTAAAGTTTTTTTGGTTACTTACTCACCAAGAACGTTCTATACATGTATTATAATTATATTAACCGAGGGGTCCTCTCTTTCCCATTGTGTTATCATTGTCCTTTGGATACTATATAAATATTACTATTACTACGATTATTCATTGAAAGTAAACGTACTATCTATATGGACAAAACGTACTCAATTGTTTATTCAAATTGAACATAGTTGAATGATCAACTTATACAGTGCGTGACTTTCAAAATACAGAATACTCGCACAAAATAAAATTTTCACTTTTATGTTTTTACTATGTCAGTTCCAGTTTATGTGAAATTAAATATGATGTAGTTGCACATTACGTTATTATTTCAGTTTGACTTGGTTTGAAAATATGAATTTTACAAATAGACTACATTAAAAAATGTTCGTGCATCATTATAAGCAATGCGAATCTCCACACATTTTGTCCTCGCACCGACGGGCCTTACCAAAAATGGCTCGTAATATGGCTGCGCACATTAACGTGAAGTCACGACAACTACAAATGTTAAGGTTGTTAAATTTAGTTGAATACCGTAGCGGTGGTGGGTTTGTTTGTAGTTAGTGGTCGTGATAGCCCAGATGGCGGGTGCGGGTCTGAGCTCTGACCTAGTTCACTTGTCGAGGAGCTCCGAAAGCGAAAGGGCCGAGTCCCAAGTAGGCCGAGCCCGAGCCGCTGGTCTGGGGTTACGGCCACGAACCATTGAGACAATTATATCGTAAAGCAACTGTTATGACCGCTACGGGCGGCACTTCACTATCCATCAAGGTCGCTGGTCGACGGTACAGTAATTAATTGTACTACAGTATGGAAATGTTATTTTCTCCGGCTACTCGGATACCAAGCACTCCCAATCGTGGGATTGTATGCTGTTTATTTTTATTTATTATGGTCTAGTAAGATAAATTCAACATTCTAAAATTTATATTTTAAACTTATCTGTTTGTTGCAAATGGCAATGATCGGCATTCATTCTCTAGGTATCTTGTGTGCTCACGGATGTATTTGCGGGTGTGTTTCGGTGCATTTCTATTTATTATTGTTACGTTTTATTTCAATAGGTTATATTATTATGCTTTACTTACCTACTTATAGATTGTAACAATAGTTTTAAATATATTTACTTTGTAATTTAGCAAATTACAGTGCAGGTATATTAAGGGTCAGTAGGCAATCTCAACAAATGAGTAAATTGTTTGGTTTTTTATCACAGTACTGTATTGCCATTTTAAAATTATTAAGACATCTCAATAGGTATTAGATTTTTTTTTTTTTAATTAAGATTTTAATTGTTAATTATTTCAACATTATAAACTCCTACAACTGAGAGGAGGCAATAATAAATCTATGAGCTAAAGGCTACCAGATCCGTCCTGGAAAAATAAGGATTCTGGCTCTTACCGTAGATGAAGTAAAATAATTATTTATTATTATTACCCACCCCTTACCAAACAGAGGGCGGTACAGTTCCAGCTAAGTGATAGCCTAGAAATCAACCCTTACAGTTTCGGATTCTACGCTTTTGGCAACTGATAACTGCATAAGAGGACTTCGTGTAAATGGCGACCATACAAAGTATGGCAACTTAAGGGACATCCCCTGCTATCGTTCGTTACTAAGCAGCGGCAGCGTGTATGACATTGACATCTATTTATTTCTTTTTGTCTATGGTAATATGGACATAAGCTAAGAGAAGCTAGTGATCGATCTCACTTATCAGATGTTGAATATAGCTTCTTTGATGAGCTTGTACACCTTAAATCCTATATTGAAAGTGTCAAGGCAAGACTTGAAAAAAGAAACCCCCAGCTAAGATGAGAACCAACATTTTTTTAACTCGTACTTGAAGCCAAATGACCAAGTGAAACCCCTAACAAAATCCCTCCGTTAAGGGTTTTGAAAGAAATTAGGGAAGAAGATCTTCAGTCAGTTTGTCCAATTGAAGATGTAGCATTAAGGATATTTGCAAGCTCAGCTATATCAAATTGCTCACCAGGAAGATCGTTTTCGTGACTTGAAAGGGCAACATATTATTTATAAGAAGACGATCTTATGCTTCTGAAGAAAGACTTTGTTAACCAGCAGTCTTGAATATTGAAGGAGAACTAACTGCTGTACTCACTGGACTTAACTTGTAATAAATGTAATAAATTGAAAGAATAACATACAAATAAGTACAGCTGAGGTATTTTTAACATTAGGTATATGGAAAGTTCTCTTTAGAAAGAAATTATGACCTTAAAGGGCATTTTATGAAATAATGGATAGTTTTGAGCAATGTTTCTCGTCATGACGAACATTTAAGTATATGTTTTAAGGGGGTGTGACTTGCAGTTTTCTCAAAAGTTCATGGGTACTTTGGGATCTATATATGGATGACGATGTGCACTGGCCAGATTCAGTCGTCCACATACAGATTCATCAATGGTGAATACCTTACTTTGTGGTGAATTTGAGTATTTGGTCGGCCCCTTTTTTAACCTTTTTGGGTCTTTAAGTTGATCGGTGAATTTGTAGATTTGGACGGGGCGCTTAAACCATTGGTTGAATCTGTTCACGCGTATTCAGTCAATTGCCCATTCCATCCTTGTTTAAGATTATTTTAACTCATCAGTAGAAGCACTTTGCATCAGCATTTCCAAGTTATCATTGTTGCTAAGAAGATTTGTAAACAACTGGACATGGATAATGCGTCCGGTTTTGCAATTATCGACTGCAGAAAACATGCCGCGTATCTCTCACACTCGACACCTCGTCAATGAGATCGTAGTATCTTTAATCCTAATCCGATCACTTCTTTTGGCCAGTAATGTAATCCGACCGGGATTTATTAAATCAGCAGTGAAGATAACGACAGTCACCGGTGACAGGTTTGGGATTAGGTAGGCATAAGAAGCGGAAATATGTCGGAGGAACCGGCAGTGGGTCAGGTGGCCCAAGGAACCGGTCGTCCCGTTAAACTCCGGCCCACTGGCATATAGCATACACCACCTTGATGATTAGGAGGAGAGAAAGTGAGTAGAAACATGTTAATCGTCACCTTGGATGGTCCAGTGATGCACTGGTGTACATAGTCTACCACCACAACGATTAGAAGGGGTAGGGCATCGATGATCAGAGGGAGGAGAAAGTGATAACATGTTAATCGTCCCCTTGGATGGACCAGTGATGCACTGGTGTACATAGTCTACCACCACAACGGTTAGAAGAGGTAGGGCCTTGATGATCCACAACGGTTAGAAGAGGTACGGCTTTGATGATCAGAGGGAGGAGAAAGTGATAACATGTTGATCGTCACCAAGGATGGACCAATGATGCACTGGTGTACATAGTCTAGCACCACAACGGTTAGAAGAGGCAAGGCCTTGATGATCAGAGGGAGGAGAAAGTAATAACATGTTAATCGTCACCTAGGATGGACAAGTGATTCACTGTTGTACATAGTCTACCACCACAACGGTTAGGAGAGGTAGGGTCTTGATGATCCACAACGGTTAGAAGAGGTACGAAGCCTTGATGATCAGAGGGAGGAGAAAGTGAGTAGAAACATGTTAATCGTCACCTTGGATGGACCAATGATGCACGGGTGTTCATAGTCTACCACCACAACGGTTAGGAGAGGTTGGGTCTTGATTATCCACAACTGTTAGAAGAGGTACGAAGCCTTGATGATCAGAGGTAGGAGAAAGTGATAACATGTTAATCGTCACCTTGGACTGCCTAGTGATGCACTGGTGTACATAGTCTACCACCACAATGGTTAGAAGAGGTACGAAGCCTTGATGATCAGAGGGAGGAGAAAGTAATAACATGTTAATCGTCACCTTGGACTGCCTAGTGATGCACTGGTGTACATAGTCTACCACCACAACGGTTAGAAGAGGTAAGGCCTTGATGATCAGAGGGAGGAGAAAGTGATGACATGTTAATTGTCACCTTGGATGGACCAGTAATAATGCACTGGTGTACATAGTCTACCACCTTGAACTGGCATGTTACATACACGATCTTTATGAGCAGAAGAAGAAGAAATATACCAACCATCAAATTTTATCGATCAAGTGATACGCCAAGTTTACAACTTACAATGTCTTTATGACTTCATGATTAGAGGGAGGACAAACGTGTCAGTTGAAATATTGTTTTGATCAACTTTGCACGCGGCATACAACGTCCACCACCTTCATGATTAGGTGGACGGACACGAGTTTAAAGTAAATATTTCAACTTTAACATTGCCTGGATTAAAAGAAACACGATTCACCTACAACATGGAATTGCATACAACATACACTATCTTCAAGAGCGGAATAAAAAATATGTCAATCATCAAATTGCTTACAAGCCTAACCGTCTTAATGACTTCATGAGCAAAGGGAGGAGAATAATTTTAATCGTAAAAATGTTTGAATCAAGCTATAGACTCTTTCATAGAATATACACCATCTTCATGAGTGGAGGGAGAGCAGATATAGCAATCATCAAATTGTCTGGATCAAGCTATACACTTGCATACAACCAACATACACCATCTTCATGGGCCAAGGGAGGAGGGTCATGTCAATCATCAAATGTTCTCGATCAGTTAATTGAGCCTCTGACATGTTAGATGAAACCGTCTTGTGTATATTTATATGCCGAATTATAATTGAATATAATTTTAAACATTATTAGGTTTTCTGTCCGATACATGCACGCAGACTGAAATTATAAATAATCTACAGAAATAGTACACTGTAGAATACGGATGGGGACCGCCATATGGCACTGACGATGTTATCAGGATAGGCCAGTAGGTAGTAAGTTGATCGGTCCATTGTTTTATGGGCTA